GGGGGGTGGGGGACTAGAAGGGGGTTACTCAGAGAGACAGACTCTCCTGACCACCTCCTGTGTGCCAGGCATTTTCACGTGTACATTCTCATTTAACCCTTGAAGGCTAAGGTGATGGCAAATTAGTGTCTAAGATTGTGAATTCTGATATCCCAGCTCTAGCATTTACTAGCCTGTGATCTGAGTCAAATTGCACTCTCTGATTCTTGGTTCCTTGTCCTTAGCATTAGGCTGAGAATTACTCAATTGTTTGCTGTGCAACTTAAATAGGGTCCTAGGTAAAAAGCACCATATTTGAGACCCAATAAATGTGCATTCCTTGACTCTGCTCTAGCCCATGCAGTGAACATACCCAGGGCAGAAGAAGCAGTCCTCTCATCCATGGCCCCAGGGCTTCTAGGTTCAGGAAGGATGGGCTAAATCTCTTCTTCGTCACCTGTCCACCAATACCAGAAGCCTTTGTAGATGGGAGGCTCACCATGGGCCACCTCAAGGACTGGAGTGTCTGGTGCCAGAGGGGAGGGGCCCCTTGCAATAAGGGTTTGCTAACAAAGGCCCTTTGACCTGTGTAAGCAGACTCTTGGGTCCAAGGCAGGATGGCATGTTTAGTTGGCCCAACATCAAGGGTTATGGAATGATAGTTCACTGAGCATAGTGCCAACATTGCCAAGCACTGGGGGGGTGCACTGGGTTAAATAACATCCCCCCAAAATTCATGTACACTCAGAAACTCAGAATGTGATGTTATTTGGAAATAAGGTATTTATAGATATAACTAGTAAAGTTAAGATGAGGTCATACTGGACCCTAAACCCAACATGACTGTTGTCCTTGCAAGAAAAGGAAGAAACACACAGGTACAGACACATGGAGGAGGTTGTGTGAAGAGGGAGGCAGAGATTGGAGTGATGTGTCTACAGGCGAGGAAACGTCGAGGATTGCTGGTGATTGGAAGTTAGAAAGAGGCAAGGAAGGACTCTTTCCTAGAGTTTTTGGAGGGAGTCCCGCCCAGCCCACACCTTGGTTCCGATTTAGCCTTCAGAACTGGGAGAGAATACGTTTCTGTTGTTTTCGTCGACCCAGTTGGTGGTAATTTGTTAGAACAGCTCTTAGAAATGAGTACGGGGGATATCCAGCTTCTTCTGAGCTGCAGAAGGAGTGAGCCAGTCGAATGAAGGCTCCGTGACGTCGTTTGGGTCTGAGGATGCGACTTAGTCATAAAAGCTACTGTTTATCGAGTGATTGCCCAGTGCCTGGTGCCTTACAATCTTATTTCATTTATTCCTCATGGCAACTCTGTGTGGGCTTATTCCCATTTTATAAGTAAGGAAACTGAGGGTCCAGGAGGAGGTCACACAGATGGTAGATTTGAACCCAGTCTGTGTGACTCCCAAGACTGTGTGGGCTTTGCACCCAATGAGGGTTTCCAGAAGTGAATGCACAGACGGATGAGTGTTCTAGAGAGTTCTTGGCCTGGTCTGTGGCAGTCAGCCTTGCTAGCGACATTTGAGGACAGAACGGTGGGTTGTGCTTCCTGTAGATCCACAGGAGGGCCTGGGAGCTTCGTGGAGTTTAAGGAGAGGGGCACGCAAATTACAAGTCCCTCTTTCTTGCCCTAGCACCAGGCAGGGGGCTGAGATTTGGCCTTGCTGTTGTCTCCTGCTGACCCTGGGGGTGGGTGGTGGGTGAGCTGGGAGGAGTTCGGTTCTTTTAACTTTTGTTGGCTTCATGTCCTTCTTCTTATAACAACAAATGTTTGTTACCTTAAAAAAATGAGAAAATAGGGACAAGGGAGCAAAAAAGAGAAAGGGAGAGAGGGGAGACTATAGAGAAAAAGAGAAAAGAAAAAGGAAACCTCTACCCATTTTAAGATGATTATTTACCTGATCGGATACCTTCCCAAGTCCCCTTTCTTCTCCTTTCCTTCTCTCGTCCCCCTTTCTGTTTTGTTTTCCTTCTTTCTCATTAGCCCTCTTGATCCTCTTCCCCTCCTTTCTCTTTGTGTGTATTTTGCTCCACACATTTAAACACGCAGAGCATATATTTGCATACATCAGGTATTTGACATCTAGTCTCATCACGTGCTCCCCACCTTCTCCCCTTCCAGCGCCTTGTCGGCATCTTTCAGGGAGATCTGCTGGATCTAGCTCATCCCGTTCATCAGCTGCACACTGTCCCATGATCGTTGTGGGCCACTGCTTATTTGCTGAGTGTTTTGCTCACCAACATGCAAGTTACCCCACCGCTTCACTAGCAGGAGCCCCCCTGAGATGGCCGTTCTTGCACAAAATCTGTGCATGCTCAGCTTCAAAAATAAAATTGCCAGGAGAGGAATTCCTAGGCCAGAAGAGACGCACATTGGACATTTTCATGCACACCCTCTTAGATCCCTAAGATCTCTTGGCCTGTTCTCCCCCCGAGAGTCATCCCCTTAGCAGGATCCCAGGGATTCCAGGGCCCTGTGGTCCCGCCCCTGCTCCCGGCTCTGCTTCCTTCTCTCACTACACTGCTGCCCTCTTGAACCACTTGCATCTCTCTCTCTCATCTCCTGGCCTTTGCATAGATTCTACCTCTGTTGGCAATGCTCCTCCCTTCTCCCTTTCTTAAGGAGAAATCCTACTGGTCCTAAAGACCTAGTTCAGCTGTCATGGACTGCAGTGAGCCCACCTGACCCCTCCCCTGTGTGAGCGCCTCCTCCGTGCCCAACAGAGCCCATGCCGCAGGGAGCTGGTCGTCCGTCTCTCTGCCAGCCCAGGAGCCCCTTTTGGGTGGGCCTGCCTATTGCTCACTGCTAAATCTCCAAATCCCAATGGTGCTGGCCACATACTAGCTGCTCAATAGACATTACTCCCCCCAGGGTCACCTTTCAGTTTGGGAGCTCGGGAGAATGAATATCGGGAGGGGAGAGCGAAGATGGTCCTTTCATTCTTGGCTCCCCTCTCCGCTCTTCCTTGGCTTCCCTGTTTTCCCCTTTCCAGCCTTCCTGGGCTGTCCCACACACAGCAAGCCCTCTTCTCAGACCCTTTTTTGGTCTTGGAGGCCCTGTGGTCAGTGGAGAGCCAGACTGGAGCGGGGGGCGGGCAGGTAATAAATACAGTGTCCAGCCAAAGCGCTGTGCACAGGGTTGAATGCTTGGTGGATAGCCCTCCTTCATCCTCTCTCCAGCTCTCGTTTCTTCTCAGAGGAAGAGCACCAAAAGAGGGGTAGGAAACTGCCTGTGTAAGCTGACCAGGACGTCCTCCTCTTGACCTGGGCCTCTTGCGTGTCCTTTCCTGTGAGCTCCGGGCCTGCCTCCGAGAGCTCCCCGCACTCGAGAGTCATGGTCCAGAGCGGGCAAGGTCTTTGTGTTGTCACAGCCCTGTGGACATTCTGTTCACTGCTGTCCCCGCTAAATCCCGGGCTGAGGAGGAATGGAGGCTTGGCCTCCATGGGTGCTGTGGCCTCGATTCTAAGCCACCACTTCCCGGTCAGCCAGGCTGGGGGCCCAGGCCCCTCCCCACCCTGTGCCTTGCCCAGACTGCCCTCACGGCGGGCCTGCTGGGAAAGGGGTGCGGCCTGCAGAGCAGGGGTGCCGTTATCTATATGGAGAGTGGAATTGCAGGGTCAGCTGAGGCAGTCAGTGGCAGTGGGATCTAGTGTGACCAAAAATCCTGGTCAGGGCCTTAAGAACCGCAAGTTGTCTCTGCCTCTGCCCCATCTCCCTGGTGACGTCTGTGAAGTCCCTTCTTGCCCCAGCCTCCCGTGGTGTCCTGTCTGTGCCACAGGGCTCAGCCTGTTGGGAGTCTTCTAGGGCTTTTACCCGCTGACACTGTGTCATTTCCCTCCACTCCCCTCAGCCACTGTCCCGCCTCTGCCTCCAGAAGTCTGGCTCCCTGCGGAGAGGGATTCCCCAGGAAAGAAGCTGCGGGGTTTCCAAGTGGGCCTTTCTCTCCGCAGCTTGCCTGACATTGCTTGCGTTGAGTCCTGGGCTCCCAGCAGTGGGCGCAGCGGGGAGTTTCAGGCACCGTGCGGTGGCTCTGCGTTTGGATTCTGGCCCTGTGTCCTGGATCAAGTTACGGAATCTCTCCAGGCCTCAGTTTTCTCACCTCTAACACGGAGATAATACGATTGGTGGCACCGGGTCATTTTGAGGATTAAATGCAACAAAGCAGGCCAAGTCCTGACACTGTGCCTGACACATAGTAAACCTGCCATGAGTGTTATTATGATTGTCATCGTTGTTATTGTGACTGTAGCTGTTTCCATCTGACCTCTGTTGCCCCAGGGAAAGAGCGCCCCTGCTTGAGTCTGAGTGGGCAGCTTGGCCGGGCTTGTGCAGGGGGCCACAGGGCCCTGGCTTGAACCCTCTGCATGCACGCCCCAGGAGGAGACTCCAACCAGCAGCCTCCGGCCACCATGCACAAGTCCTCCAGCAGCGGGGGGCATCACGGTGCACACACCCGGGGAGCATAAAAGAGCTCCCACCTGCAGAGCACTTGGCCCCCAGTGCTCAGCCCTCAGTGAATCAGAGCCAACGGTCTTGTTGTCATTGCCACCGGGCGTAGCCATGTCCGAGGTGCCACAGCCAGATGCTCTGGGCGTGGACTGGCTGTGGACTCCAGGCAAGTGGCTCTACCCCCACTGATCCTCAGTTTTCTCCTCTGTGTAATGGGACCAGTACCGCCCCCTTCCCAGGGCTGTTAGAGGGAATTACATCGTCAGCACGGCTATGAGGCTGGCTTGAGCTACAAAGATGGGGACAAGCCCAGTCCCTGTTTGGGGTTCAATACAGACAGTTTCCTCCATGCACCTACCCCATCCCTGCAAGTGCCCCTCTTTTCACTGGGGACTTCCGCCCTGTCTCCATGCCAGCAGGGAGGAAGACAAAAGCCTTGATACCCATTCTTTCTCTGCCTCCTGTCCCAAAAGTCTTTGGCTCCAGGCTGCATTTGGCTCCATGTTTAATTGACCAGCAGCTAAAAGACAGGAAAACCCATAAGGAAAGGACACACATGGTGCTTTAAAAAATTTTTTAATTCAAAAGAAAATAAGAAAACAAAAACACTTCCCAGGGTGTGTTGTGATGACACATCACAGGCATGTAAAGTACATATAAAAACGAGAAGAGTCTCAGGAGCTGCAGGCGTGGGGCCCTGTGCAGTGGGCCACAGCCCCCTTCCTTGAGGCATTGTTTTCTCCGACATTCAGCTCTCCCAGGCTCTAAAAAAGGAAGCGCTCATTCAGCCTTGTTTCTCTTGGAAGACTCAGCCACTTTCAGCTCACTGGTCCTTGACGTGCGCACAGGAAGCTGGGCTTGCAGGTGGACAGGGCTGGAGCGGGGGATGCGGTGCATCACTCCTCTCCCTGCCCTGCTCACGCTCTCTGGGGCTGGGGAAGCAATGTCCCTCTGGGGGGAGAGGTGGGACCACTGTCCTTCACGGGCCCGGGCTTCCCTCCTCGAGTGGCAGCAACAGCAGTGTCTACAGGTAAGGTGGGAGCCACAGAATAAGGACTTAGACCAGGATGAGATGTGCCCGGGGCTAGGGCTAAATTTTGAAGGACAGCCAGAAGGTAGAGGATGTGCCTGCCACAGCAGCTTTCACACTGACCTTCCTTAGCTGCTTGACCAACTGCCCCATCCCTGCCTCTGCTGGCCCAGACTTCGGGGGTCATATAGACCTGGACCCCACTCTTGGCCCTGCCCCTTACTAGTTTGTGAGGTCCTGGGAAAGTTACCTAACTTCCTGGAGCTTCAGTTTCCTCATCTGTTAAGTGAAGCGGTTCACTGGAATCTCACAGGGTGACTGTAAATGTAAGTGTGATTATGCCTTTGAGGAGCCTAGGACGGCACCTGGTGCGTAGTGAGTATTCGACAAATGGCCACCATGATTACTGTTACCAGGCGCCAGTATTTCCGCTGCAGACTTGGTGAGTGTGTGTGTGGATGTATGTGAGATAAGCAGAAGGTTTCCACCATGCTCTAGAAAAAGGCTGAATTCCCCTGAGCTTCCTGGGTATGTCTGGGCAGCTCAGAGGTCTTGGACCGCAGCGATGCTGGCATGGGAGGCCTCGACTGCTTTTCTCCTATGCATGTCCAGCTGGTTCGGGAGCCGTTCTGTTCTAGACCTCGGTGCCCTCCCTGGGGTAGAGGATGCTGTTTGTGTTGATGCTGTTGTAGAAATGAGGGCTGAACTGGTTGAGGACAGAGCCTCCATAGCCGAGAGCGTTGGTGGGCATGGGGTTGGCCCACTCGCCCCCACCCCCGTGGCCGCTGAGGTTGGTGAGTGGGGTGTAGGAGCTGAAGTTCAGCACGTTCTGCCCCATCTTGTCAGTGGGCTCAGGGCTCAGTCCTGGTGTGGCCACGGGACGGCTCACTGGGCTAGACCCGCTCACATAGGCTGTCATGGTGGAGAGGAAGCTGTTGAGGCAGGGGGTACCCAGTGGGGGAGGGGAGGACTGCTTCTCTGCAGAGCCGGTGGTCCCCGGTGAAGCACTGTCCAAGATGTCCTGGGCCTCCCCGGTCTTGGGGCTGCCCTCCAGGAGGCTGTTCTCTGTCTTCTCAGAGGCCAGGCTGGAGGAGACATCCGATTTTCTCTTCCTCTTCCTGCGGAAATTTCCGTTATCGAACATCTTCTCACAGTTGGGGTCCAGGGTCCAGTAATTCCCTTTGCCTGGTACAAAAGTGGGAGAAGTAAGCAGAGAGCTAGACAACATGCCTTGCTCCTGTTTCTCTTTATTGTCACCAAGTAAACACCAAGGAAGCCCATGCAGAAGACAGAAGAGAAGGCAGGGACAGAGAAACAGAGGACTCGCACGCACCAACCACACAGTGCCAGCGAGCAGCTTTATTTCAGCCCACCCCACACTGGGCACTCTGAGGGCACAGAGGCGTAAGCCATGAGAGCACTTGCAGTGCAGGCCTCTGGAAGAAGTTCGGGTACAGGGGGGGATGGAGAGGGAGGGCCTTCTTCCATGGCTGATGTGAAAGAAAACTCACGAAACACTTTAGAGCTCCCTGAACGTTTTGGGCAGGGAGTCCGAGGATGGACTTGAGTCCTGGCTTTGCTCCTAACTGGCTGAGGGACTCTGGGCAAGCCTCAGTTTCCTAGTCTGAAAAGTGGGCCAGTTGTACCTGTCCCTTCTTCCTCAGGCTGACCGTGAGAAAGGGGGGGCGCTAGATGTGTAGGTGGGCTTTGTTACCAGGAAGTGCCGGCCAGAGATAGGACCTGAGCTCGGCCTGTGGGTGAGGCCAGTCATTGGACTGGACACTTGTCCTCTCCGGGGGGCCCACCAGCCCTGCCCCTGCTAGCCTCCTAGCGGCCAGAGCTGGGGGCTCTGAGCCATGCCCTGGCTTCCCGTGCGGGAACAAGAATGGACTTTAATTCTGGGAAATGCATATCTGAGTATCTAATATATGACTTTCTGTATGTCCCTGCATTGTAGAAATCCATCATTAAAAAGGAAGAGTTCACAGCCCTTGGTGTTAGAGAGACCTCTGCTCAGATACGGGCTCCAGGGCTATCCCTCCATTCTGTGTCCCCTAGGGCAGGCTGCTTCACCTCTGAGTGTCACTCCCTTCATCTGGACAATGGGTTCAGTAAGAGCTACCTGTAGGGATGGGTTAAAGGAGATTATGTAACTAGGGCAGGCAGCACGTTATGGCCCTTCATGCATGTTTAACAAAATCAGATCTCTCCCCAGAGGTCTGGGAGTGCACTTGGGCTTTGCCTAGTCCGGCTCCCCCTGAGGACTTCGTATGAGCTGGGTGCCAGGGACTCAGAGTGATCACAGCAATGACTGTAGACTATGGGCGCCTGTTAGCACCCAGTCCCTGCCTGCATGACCTCATGGCCCCATCACAGGCCTGCAAAGGGGCCACTGTTACCATCCCTATTTTTCAGCTGGGGAAACTGAGGCTCAGAGATCTAAAATGCCTGCAGTTGCTGACCGCTCCGTCGTCCAGCCAGGATCAAAACCCTTCCTCCAGGGCTCTCCCAGGTTCCTTCGCTGCCGACAACCCTCAGCCCCCTGTCTCGGGGGACACGGCCACGTCAGAACTTTCTAGAGTGGGGTGCTAGGGAGGAATGGCATGAGCCTTCCTCGGGGGTGTCAGAGGCTGGGCCCCCTGCCCCACACTGCACCAGCAGCCCCCTTACCCGGGTCGTCCTCGTCGCGGGGCACCTTCTTGAAACAGTCGTTGAGAGACAGGTTGTGGCGGATGGAGTTCTGCCAGCCGGCCTTGCTCTTGTTGTAGAAGGGGAAGTTGTCGGCCACATACTGGTAGATCTGGCTGAGGGTGAGGCGCTTGTCGGGCGCCCCGTGGATGGCCATGGCAATGAGAGCCGAGTAGGAATAGGGGGGCCGCACCAGCTTCATCAGCTCCTCCTGAGAGGGGATGGGCAGCCAGCCCAGCTCGCCGCCCCCCAGCCCAGACATGCCGGGCAGCAGCTGCCTCTGCACACCGTAGGCCTGGGGCAGAAAGGGGCTGGTGTTGGCGCTGGGCAGGTACGGTGGCGGAGTCATGGCCGGCCCGTTGAGCCAGAGGTAGGGGTTGGGGGCGGCCCCGTACTCGCCGCCCCCCTCAAAGGAAGGGGGCCGCTGGGGGCTGGGCACGCCCTGTGGGTGGAAGAAGTTCTCATAGTAAAGGCTCATCTCGGGGGGCTCCTGGCCGATGCTGGGGAACTGGGGGCTGCCGCGAGGTGGGGAGGGTGCCGGGAGGTCAAAGGAGCTCATGCTGGGGCTGGGCTCGGCCGGAGCCACCTGCCCGGCACCTGCACACGGGCGCTGTGCCTGACAGGTGCTCGGCTGGCCCAGCCTCTGACTTATACCCCTGCGGGCTTGGCCTGCGGGCCCCACCCAGGGGCGGCCACCTGCTGCAGACCCGCCCCTCCTCCAACAGCCCTGCCAGCCGAGGGGAGGGGGCCTCCGGGCCAGGCCCACTGCGTGTGCTCAGACCGGTGCTGTAGCTGATGTCCACAGTGCCTGGGGCACCCCACTTCCCTCTCTCTCTTCCCAGTTCCTTTCCTGTTTCCCCCCTTTCTCTCCTGCCTTTCTCCTCACTTGGCTCCCCTTGTCTCCCCCTCATTCTGTCTCTCTTCTGGTGCTCTCCTTCTCACCTTTCTCTCCCCTTCTCCCGCCTTCTCTCCTCTGGCCATCCTCTCTGCATCTCAGTCTCTTTCCTGTCTTCTTGCTGTCACATTTTCTTTCCCTGCTCTTTCTCCCCCTTCCTGTGAGTGTTTCTTTCCTAAGCACTGCTCTGGCCACCTCTCCCTTCCTCCCTCCTTCCCCCCCTCCCTCCTTCTCACTCTCTGAGTCTGTTTCTGTCTCTTTCTACTTCTCTGTCCCCTCATGCTCACCTCCTGTCTGTCTCTGCTTCTCTGCCACTCCCTTTCACTCCTATCTCTCATCTCCTCTGTGTCTCTTTCCCTCTCCCCTGGCCCCCTCTTCTGGCCCATCCTGACCCTACATTCTCTGCCCCCCTCACCCAGACTGGATGTGAACTTTATCGGAAGCCACATCTTTGGGTCGTCTGAAGTGAGGACACTCTTTCTGGAGGTTCCAGGGAAGAACCTGGCCCTGGAGAATCCGAAGAGCAGAGAGGAACCTGGCCTATGGCCAGGTTTCAAAAGGGCAGCCGGTTGGTTATAGGCACTCTCTGCGCGCGCACACACACACACACACACACACCCAGCAGGCACGCTGACAAGGGCCATGGACAAGGCCTGGGGATTCTCCCAGAGGAGCAGCAGGGCCCATCAAGATAGCAACAGAAGGAAGAGAATGTGAATGGGCTTCAGGGAAAAATGAGAGAGAACTTGCACTGTGCAAGGTTCTTTCTGGCTGCAGGGGTCACGCAGGCCCCCAGGCCCCAATCTGATCAAAGTCCTTTCATGTTTCAGCTTGCAGGGGCCCCGCAGAGCTGAGGCCTGGAGGAGAGCCCTGGACTCAACGTGCCATCTGTGCCTCAGGCTCTAGAATCAGGAGCGGCTCCCCCTCCACTCCGTGCTTCCGGGCAGCCCCTCCCCTCTCTGGGCTCCGTTCTCCCGAAGCTTGCGGATGACTTGCCCCAGCCTCGCTTGTGCCAGGCCGGCCGTCGGCCTGGGGGGAAGGAGGGTGGGCAGCTGTCCCTGAGCAGGCTTCAGTAGCGGCCTGAGGACTTCCCTCCTGCAGATCAGCAGATTGGAAGAAAGTTGCAGCCAGCTTCTGGGGCCGCCACCTCCCTCCTGCCCTCCTGCTCCTACTTCCCTCTCCCCGTTCAACTGCCTCTCACTTCCTCTGGACCTCACGGGTCCTTGAGGTGGAAGAAGAGGTCGCTTACTGCGCCAGCTAGAGGGGCTGCCTCCCAGGGAGGGCCCCCGCCCTGCTGTCTGCTCTTCTCTAGAGCTGCGTCAGGAGACAGCCCTCCGGAAACCCAAGCGCCAGGAAATTTGTCTCATTTGCAGTGTATTGGTGCCCAGAGGATGAGTTCAGGAAACTAGGTGGAAGGGGTCCTCCCAGGTCCTGAGAAACCACCTGTCCCCACCAGGGAACAGTGAACGAAGTGACTCCAAAGGGCCTGACTGCCCAGGCACATTAGAGACCAGCAATATAGACCCAAGGCCTGACAATGAACCTGGCAGCTCCAGTTCTGGTAATTCATCCCGCAGAATTAAACAGAGCAAAGACTTCTCTTCAGGGGTATTCACCACAGCAGTGTTTGTAACTATAACAGACTGTAACTGACCTGAATGTCCAACAGTAGGGGATTGGTTAAATAAATTGGGTATCATCCCAATGAAGACATATTATGAAGCTCTGAAAAAATAGATTGTAGAACATTTTCTAATATGCAAAGATGTTATGTTCTAATAGCATTATTAACAAAACAGCCTATAAAATGCTATCTTATGGTAAATTATAGACTCATACGTGTATTTATAAATATAAATACCAAACTGTGAATTATTATTTCTGGATGGAAAATTGGATGTGATTTTCATTGTTGTTTTTCAGTTTCTGATTTAAATTAGTTAAGTCAAGCACACGGGTGATTTGCTTTGGGATTCAATGCAGAGCCAGGGGCAAGATAGCGGAGTTACAGCAGACATAGGCTCTGAGATCAGGAGGACCTGGGTTTGAATCCCAGCTGAGTGGCTAAGTGCAAATCTCAACAAGTGATTTAATTTATCTCCGCCTGTTCTCTCAAGTGAAAACGGGAATGATCCCACTTAACCCATGTGGTTGCTGTGAGCAATCCGTGGGGTGATCAATGTAACCATTGTCAGTCATCTTGCATGGTGCCTAGAGAAGCACTCAATAAATATGAGTCATTATATACTATAGTCAATATACATTTGATATGTACAATTCATCACTGGGTTTGCTCCCTTGTGGGTTAATTGCTCCTTTAGCAGCCCCGGGGGGCGGGGCCTGTGGGGCAGGTGAGGTTACAAAGGAGGAACCGAGAGAGGGACATTCGGTGCAGACACCCACCGTACAACCAGCCCCCGCCATCTGCGGCTGACGACGGGTTTCCCCCCCAGCCCTGCTGTGGCCTCTACGCTGCGGCAGGAGACAGGCACTCGAGTCACGTGGCAAGTTCACAACCAAGTGGTCAGGAGCCTTTCTCCCAAACCCCTCATCTACCCTTTGCCTGTTGCTGGGGTCTCCTTCTGCAGAGGAGTTTTTAAAGGAAGCTCATTGGAGTCTCCCCGTCTTAGGAGGCCTGGCCCACGTGCAGCCTGTGGCCCCGAGTCCGGTGGCTGCAGCTCACGGCCTCTCGTGCCCTCCCACACCCGCTCACAGGGTCAGGCCTGCCATTTGGGGTGATGCCTGGGGAAAGAGGGAAGGCCTGCCATGCCTCTGGAGTAGGGTATGTGCCCAGCGGTCAGCTATAGGCATTGCTGGGTCCAGAAGCCCAAGGCGGCTCAAGGCCTGCCGAAAGAGCGGAGGTGAACAGGCCCCATAGAGCACGGCTGGCCAGGGCCCCCACCTCCCAGCCTTGACTCTCAGGGCATGGAGGAGTGTGCCAGGAAATAGGCTGTCGTCTGGGCTTCCTTTCCTGCACACCAGAGCTGTGTCTCAGAATATGCTGGGGCTTGCCAGGGGGCCAGCTTCTCTGTCCCACGTATGGGCTTTTAGGAAGCCCAGTCCCCGCGTCAGCCAGGCCGACTCCGATCTTGGTGCTCTCTCCTCTGCCTTTTGGCTTCTGGTGGCGCTTGAGGCCCGAGAAACGCAGATAAATACCCCCCTCTGGTGGCCATCTATTTAAAAGCAGGGCGCGGAGTGCAGAGATTCTGTGACCTTTCAGAGCCGTGGCCAAGGAATTCTGAGCCCCTTTAAGGGGCAGGTTCCCCAAATGAACATCAGCTTCAAGGAGGAATTGTGCCCCTGGAAGGGGGAAAAAACCACTTTCATTCCACTGTGATGGAAATAGTGGGAACTGGATTGTCAATGGGGCAAAATGTCTTAGAAGTCAGCCAAGCGGCAGTTGGACGGGTTGGAATTAGAATCCAGCACCTCCGGTCCTATTTTCTGAGTGCTTTGCCATTGCTGAATCTCTGAGCCTCTGCTCGCTCCTCTGGAAAATGAGGATAACCAGGGTTACCTCCCTCAGACGGCTGTTGCAAGGACTGCGTGAGACAGTACGGGAAAGACCTCTGATACGGTGCTCGGCCGTTAGTCATTCCTTCACTTACTCAGCAAATACTGACCGACTGTCTCCACAGTAGCATTTCCGGGGCATGCAGGACACTGTCACGGCCACACAGTGTTGAGGCTCATGATCCTGATTTGCCACCTTGGTGCAATACCTATAGTTTGATTTACTTAATAATTTTTCAATTGGCTCTCAGGCTTTTTTTTTTTTTCCTTTTTTTTCTTTTTCTCTTTTACTTTCTTTTCTTTCCTTCCTTCCTTTCTTTCTTCTTTCTTTCTTTCTTTCTTTCTTTCTTTCTTTCTTTCTTTCTTTCTTTCTTTCTTTCTTTCTCTTTCTTTCTTTCTTTCTTTCTTTCTTCTTTCTTTCTTTCTTCTTTCTTTCTTCTCCTTCCTTCCTTTCTCCTTAACGAATTTATTTATTTATTTAAAGATTTATTTATTTGACCGAAAGAGAGAGAGAGAGCACAAGCAGGGGGAGCAGGAGAGGGAGAAGCAGGCTCCCCGCCGAGCAAGGAGCCAGTCACAGGGCTCAATCCCAGGACCGTGGGATCATGACCTGAGCTAAAGGCAGACCCTTAACCGACTGAGCCACCCAGGCACCCTAATGAATTTATTTTAAAGATAAATTCCATATGACATCTGGAAATGAATCATCGGTAATCAGTATCACTTGCCATAAATACATTGAGAAAGAGTAGTGTCTATCTAGAGCTGACACTGGGCTGGGCATAGCCTGAATTCTTACCTGTGCTCTCACTCAGTCCCTACTATAATCATCCCCATTTTACAGATGAGCAACCTGAGGCAGCAGAAGCCTGAGCCTGCTTGCTCTTTTTGAGAAGGTGAGATGTGCAAGCATTAGGGAAGGGAGGAAGCGCTGCTTAGAGAAGCGAGAATTGAAAAGGGAGAGATTTTTCTCATCACGAGTGTGATAGGCAGATTGATGACCTCCCCATAAGATGTCAATGCAGATCCGCAGAATCTGCGAACTTGTCATCTTCCAAGGTAAAGGGGACTTTGCGGAAGTGATTAAGTTGAAGACCACTGCGAGTGATCGGCCTGCATTTCCCGGGTGGGCCCAGTGTACTCAGAGCTGC